AAAAAAAACAAGAAGTTTAAAACAACGCTTTTTATTGTGTCCAAAGGTTAGAAAAAAATCTGTAGGAAAAAACAAAAGGCGATTATTGGTAAGTCTAAAAAAAAAAAAAAAAAAAAAAAAAATTTAAATTTTATTAATTAATTTAATTAATTTCATATGATAATTTATATTACAAGAATTTACATCTTACTTACTTTTGAACATTATATGCTACTAATGGTGCATTAATTACAAAAGCTATCCAGCTCCCATTAATAAAGAACGCAAAATTGAGGAACGCATGAGCCAACATTTCTGGAAGAACAAACTGATTTTATATATAAATATTGTTAGTATTCCTGTACCATTCTAAGCATACATTCGATGAAATTGAAAGGTTTACCTGATTCAATTTGTTACAAAGATCAATTGGGTTGATATAATCGCATTCGAGATCTGAAAACATGATTGTCTGTTCGTGCAGGGTAAGAATGCTTAAAGGTTATGGATAAAACAACTACGATCAACGTTGAGTAAGTAGATATTTTATTTAGCATAAAGCATGAGTAGTCTTAAAAAAACTTTTCCACCAATTCTTAAGTTTAAGGATACGAAAAAAACCATCATAAAAAGCAGAGCAGCTGCCATAATGGTGCCAAAAAGAAATAGTAAAGCTTCACCGGGCATGTTTGTTGTATTTGTCTATGATTTAAATCTTGCTTATAATTCAAGACCAACGCAGCAAAGTTAACTGCTGAAGAAAAAATTTTTTATATAAATTTTTGATAGCTTGATTGTGTAACTCGGTTTGAGTCGAGCTTTTTTTTTTAATTCAGTAATTACAGAATTAAATAACAATAACTTTTTTTCTGATTGGTCAATCATTTACAGTTGTATTTTAAGGTTTAGATAATTTTCATGTGAATTAATGATAATGTAATACGTACTTCATAATCGAACACTTAATACGCACTAGGGTTGTTAAATATAGGATAACTTTCTCGTGATTGGTCGATCACACAAATTGAATATCGTGTCATGATTGGTCACTTTGCAGATCAT